GAGAGAGAGAGAGAGAGAGAGAGAGAGAGAGGGGGGGGGGGATGAAGTAGGGAGAGCGAGCACGCCTTTCCTGCGAAACGGTGTGTCCCGGTCCTGCATGGCCGTGTACATCACGAGGCCCTCGGGCTCGGCACGCGTCCTTCTCTTTCTTCTCTCCCTTTCGGCGGGGCTCCACGCCATGAAGGCCGTGGAGGGTGGAGGCCGTTGTGAAGGTCCTGCCGGGCCATGGAGGCCGTGGAGTGTGGAGGCCGTTGTGGAGGTCCTGCCGGGCCAAGGAAGCAGTGGGGTGTGGAGGTGGAGGCCGTTGTGAAGGTCCTGCCGGGCCATGACGCCGCCGCCGACCGGCCGTGCAAACAGAAACAGCGCGCGCGCCGTGCGGAGCGGGCTGGACGGCAAGGGCCTTGACTGTGCTCGGCCCGGTCGGACAGAAAGACAAAGGTGTACATAATATTTTCACACTTTTTCCTTAAGGGAGCTTGCGCCATAACGGACGAAAAAAATAAAAATATATAGTAGTGTTTCTGTTTTAAGTTTAATGTTCGGGTAAAATCCAGTGCCCGCTCATGCTTTGCCCTTTCCGTTTCGACCCGCTACCTTATGCTGCCGGCTGAAGCTCATCCCCCTACTTGGTACCAACGGTCACCGGCGAGCACTAGCGGGTACCAGGCCGTGTCCCCCCCGGTGGTCACTGGTGGTCAGCTCCAGCCGCGGCGCTAGCGCGGAGCGGTAACGGGGCTTACCTCACGCTTACGAGGCTCCGTGCGGCGCCACAGGCCACACTGTAATGTGTAGCACGCTCTTCATATTACAGAAAATAAATTAAAAGTTGGTATGTTTTAGTGTAACGTGTCACAGAAACACACCCAGAGGACCGTTTAGTCCAGAGAACCAAATCCAAAACCGACGAAATTTTAGCTCTGGAGATCAAAATTTATCCGTGGCGATGAAATAATTTAGTCTAGCTGACTTAATTTTGTTGGTGCAACCATATCTAGTTAAAAATGGGGTTACTAAATTTTAGTCAGTTTAAGGAACTAAATTTTGTTCCTGACAACCCTGATTTAGTTGTATCAACTAAATGGTTCTCTGGGTGCATGTTACGATTGTATTGTATACTTTCCGTCCGGGCACTAAGCATGTCACACCAGCATGCAATGTTTAGTTGTTTGCTTTGCTTTTTCGCCCTTCTGAAGATTTGTCCTCGCATTTATTTTTTTTAGCAAAGGGCACACTTAGTCTTAGTGCGGTGGATGTACTGATTTAACTAGCAGTGTAGCACCTCTCCTCCCTTTTCCCCCGGGCACGTCGCGAACAGAAGTGTACAGTACAGTGGTGCCACTGTGTGATCCTGGACCTGGCCCACACTACGGGGCGCGCTCACGGACAGCTCCCCCGGACAGGACACTGGAGTGGACAGCCGTGTGTGGCGGACAGCAGGGCAAGCACAGCAGAGCAGGACGAGGGCCGGCTGCAGGGCTGGCCGCAGGAGGGACACCAGCAGGCCACCCGATCTCTCTGCCGGGGGAGTGAGGGGAGGAGGGGGGGTAGGTCGTCATGCGCCATGCGCGGGGCTTTGTGCCCCTCTCCTCCGCGGTACTATTGGGGACAATACCTCTCATAATGTAATGTGGTCACCAACGTCGTCTCACGGCCACAGCAACAAGAGGCTCTCGCCCGTGAGCAGAAATGTGCGAGAATTGAGGAAATAAACCTTCCCCCCCTCCCCCTCTAGGACCAAATATTTACTCAATGACAATGCGATCGTAACTCGTGCTACCCTACTACCCGACTTGAGTTTGCTGCATTTTAACAAAGTTCGTGCTTAGGGAAATCCGACTTTATCATTTAAGAAAATTGAAAAAAATGATTTTTTTTTTCCAAGAGTCCTTTTTTTTTGAAATTTAAAATCCCTATTTGGTGCTGATGATGATGTTGGTGTTGTTTGCAGGACCGTGAGCGTGCTGACGGAGCTGATGCGTCGCGAGGCGGCCGTGCGGCTGTTCCGGGAGCGGCAGACGGCCCTGCAGCACACGCTGCCGCTCGGCTCGTACCTGCTCAAGCCGGTGCAGCGCATCCTCAAGTACCACCTGCTGCTGCAGAACATCGTCAAGCACTCGTCGTGCGACCGCTTCGGCTACGGCGACATCGTGGACGCGCTCTCCACCATGACGGCCATCGCGCACCACATCAACGACATGAAGCGGCGCCACGAGCACGCCGTGCGCGTCCAGGAGATCCAGAGCCTGCTGTACGGCTGGGAGGTAAGCAAATTTTGAATTAAATTTTTCAAAAAAGCAATTTTTCGCAATTTTATAAAAAAGCAATTTTTTGTAATTTTTCACAAAAGCAAATTTTTGCAATTTTTCAATTAAGCAATTTTTTGAAATTTTTCAAAAAAAGCTATTTTTTGCAATTTTTTCAAAAAAGCTATTTTTAAAAAGAGCAAATTTTAAGATAATTTTTAATTACAATAATAATTTTTGTGTTCTAGGGCGAGGACCTGACGACGTTCGGCGAGCTCTGCGCCGAGGGTACGTTCAGGGTGGCCGGCGCCAAGGCCCTGCGCCACGTGTTCCTCTTCGACAAGATGCTGCTCATCACCAAGAAGAAGGAGGAGAGCATCCTGGGCTACAAGGCGCACATCATGTGCTCCAACCTCATGCTCATCGAGAGCGTGCCCGGCGAGCCGCTCAGCTTCCACGTCATTCCCTTCGACAACCCCCGCATGCAGTACACCCTGCAGGTATAGTGTACCGCTCACTCACTCGTTCAATGTGTCCAAAAAACGTTCTGGTCGCTCAGCTTTCACGTCTTTCCCTTTCGACAAACCCCCGCATGAGGCACACCCTGCAGATATCCTGCACGCCGCTACTCACTCACTCACTCACTCACTCACTCACTCACTCACTCACTCACTCACTCACTCACTCAATGTGTCTAAAAATGATCTGGTCGTTAGCATGAACAGCGCGTTATGCAACGAGTGGCGGCGAGGTCAAGACCCTTCCCCACTCAGCTCCGCTCTGCTCTGCTTAGGTCAGGTTGCGTGTCTCGACTTCCCGCCGGCCGGCCGTGTGCCCCGGCTCGGCCACGATGAGCCTATAAACGCAGGAAAAGCACTCCATACCTCACTTTGGCCGCCCCCCCCCCCCTTACGCGTACCTCGTGTGTGTAAACCTTGCACGCTTTTATAGCAGTTATGATGTTGTCCGCGGTTCTGCTGCTGGTGCCGGTGGTGGTGGTAGTAGAAGGGGGCCAACAAACCCAGTGTAATGAAAAGTGGAAAGGAAAGAAAAAACGAAAGCTTGCCGCTGCAGCTGCTACATTTCTGGTGTTGCCGGCAAATTAAAGACCGTGTGCGACTGAGACGAGGGGGGGGTGAATACGCCTGTTGGAGGAGAGAGAGAGAGAGAGAGAGAGAGAGAGAGAGAGAGAGAGAG